AAAAAACGGTTTTTTTTTTTCATATTCATACATTTCGATGTCGAGATGATCAATTAGAGGGTTTTTCAACATTAAAACAACCTTTCCAATAGATTTTTGAGGTGCATCTATAATTCTACATTTTAAGGTTGCAACCTTATACAAACATTTTCCTTAGGACTAAAACCCACCACTCTCCCTTTCTATTCACTGAAAACTTAGGGAAACAATATTTGAAAGTATATTATTTTTGAAATGCTTAACTCAGCCATGGGCAGTCCCAAGTTAGTCATACCAATCCCAAGTCTAGAGAAAGCAAAAAGTTTGTGTTAGGTTGGCAGCTAGCATAAAATTTTGCCATATTTTTTCATGAATCCTAAATCAATATTATATAGTTATACTAAGACATTTCCTGTAAGTGACATGTTGTGATGGCACTTGGGTGCAATAAGAAATGAGCAAGGGTTAGCAAGGGCGCCCCTAGAAGCGATGTGTTACAATGCTGCCTGATTGTGGTGATAAGTAAGCAAGGACTTTCATATCATTTTGGACGAGCGTGGATAAAGAAGTTCATTCAAAATAATAGGATTCGTTTACTGATATCAAATGTAGGACCTCTAACAGGTAAAAATATGGAGTTAATGGATAAATGAGATGAAGGGAAGTTACTATAGCTTACCAACAAGAGACTTAGTGCAAAGGGGCAAAAGCTAAGAAAATTGATGCATATAAATTTTGGTATATAGGAAATGATAAAATAGAAATAGTAGAGGCATAATAGTAGACAAGATTTAAAAGATAAAATAATAAATGTAAAAAGAATAGGTTATAAGCTCCTATTAATTAAACTCGTGTTAGGGGATATGATTAATATAATTAGTACTTTTAAGCCATAGGTAGAACTAGAGGATAGAATTAAAAGACAGTTCTTGGAGGACATGCATGGACTAGTCCAAGGGGTACTAAACATAGAAAGAACTTTTTTAGGAGGGAACTTAAGTGGCCATGTAGAAAAAGATAATAGAGGATATGAGAGGGTACATGGACGATATGGATTTAGGGAAAGAAATTATATATATGACATTATACTTAACTTTGTTGTGGCTTACAACCTAGCAATATCAAACATTTATTTTAAAAAAATGAGATGACTATTTAATAGCTTATAAAAGTGGATCTTATAGAAGGTAGATAAACTTCTTTCTAATCAAGAATGCAGACGGATCAACATATAAAGACTATAAGGTTGTCCCTGAAGAGAGTTTGACTACGTAATATTGGCTCATGGTTATAGATGTTTGCATAAAGAGATGGAAGATAAGGAGTGAAGTTAATAGGTATTCAAGAACTAGGTGATGGAATTTAAAAGGGAGAAAATACTTATTTAGGAATAAACTAATAAAATAAGGAAAATAAAATTTTGCGGACGAAGTTAATATTATATAGAATGAGATGACTAGTAATATTAATGGCAAAAAAAGATTTAGGAGAATCTAGAGATAAAAAACTTGCAAGTAAAGAAATATAGTGGTGGAGTGATGAGGTTCAAAAGGTTATTAGTAAAAAATGATCATCTTATAAAGCTTTGTAATGGAATAGTAATTATCAAAACTTATAAGAATACAAAACTATTAATAAAAGAGTAGAAAATATGAATTTATAGAAATTATTGAATATATGTGTAAAGAAGGGAGGAAATCATTGACTATGGAATATTGAGAAAGAGCATAAATTTCGGTAAGAATTTCTATAGAGGATTGAGAGAGAGTTTTGGAGGAGAGATTCACAAATGTCCAATGAGATTGTATACAATAAGAATATTTACTTTTGATACAAAGAAGTTACAAGTATTTACAACCATCCGATGTGAATCTGCTATATTGGATATAACACAAATTCGAGAAAATTTCTTTTGAAGTTTGAGCTTGGTTAATGGAGTAAATGCATCCATTTTATTTCACATATGATGGTCAAGATTAATTGTTACCACCTTTTACCAAAGATAAATAGTCTCATTGTATAATTTTGCCATTTCAAATTGGAAAATTGTTTCATGCGGGCTGGATCGCATTTCTACATATGCGGTCCAGAAAGTGTAAAGCATCCATCTTAAAGATAGAAGCAAGTAGGTGTTCCATCTAAAAACAATAGAAACTAATAGTCCAAATGTTTTCTTACTAGAATTATTATATTTAGTTTTTAAAATTTATTATTTTTTCATATTCATGATCTCCATGTTAGAGATTACATATCCTTAAAAATTAAATATTAAAATTCATCTCAAAAATAAATTTATTAAGAAACCCGCAATTCTACCTATGCGGGCTTGGCCTCATAGAAACTGAGTCCTTTTGAAAATGGCTTCAATTTAATGGATTACTAATGCGTTTTACGAAATTCAAGGATTAGTCTTCCTCTAGGTACGTCATACATCACTCTCACAACATAATTTTGAGGCATATGCTCCTCATAAAAATCCTTGCTATAAAGTACTTTTAGACAGTTTTCAAAACAACGGATCAGGTTGACTAGTCTATCCTGGGCCAATCTGATTGGTCCGACTGATTCTGACTAGATCAGCCAATTAATGCCCCGATTTTTTTTGAAAAATGTAATTTTGATAAAAAAAATCCCAAAAAACTCAAAAAATCCTAAAAAAAAATTAGGAAAAAAAAGTTTAAAATTTATATATATTGTTTTTTTATATTGCTTGCCTTTGCCTTCCTTATGGCTGCGATTGTCTTCCTACATGCTTACCTCCGGATGCCATGTGCTTGCCTTCGCTCCTTGTTGGTTAGAGTGGAAGGAAGTTTCGATGTTAGCTTACCTACCAAACGGAGGAACACCTACTTAGGGGCAACCTCATAGGGAGAGGCGGCATGTTCGCCCTGCCGGATCAGCAGGGAAAGATAGAATGGGAAGAATCCTACTTGTTGCCCATCGACCGCGGAAGACAGAAGTAGACGGGATGAGTTTCATCTATGTATAGATTATAAGTTCTATAAATGGCACTAGCAGTTATTTCACTGTACGATATTCTCTTATGGAGGAGTTCTTTTATTTGTTCAATGAAAGAGGAAAGGGATCCGCATTGCTCAGTCCAAATCGAAGCCATTCTTTGTCAATTTTTTAAAGGCAAATGAATTAAACCCGAGATTGGGAACCTTTTCCAGCCTCTCATTCAAGCGAGAGATCTCCCACTCATCTCGGCTCCAGCTACTTTGAAGAAAATGATTAGACACCTTAAGCACTACTTTTTCAATGATCAATATATAACAAATATATATTATATATAATATGTAATTAATACATAGAATATAATATAAATTATATTAATAAAATAAATATAAATGTAAATAGAAAAAGCTTAAAAATACCTATAGGCGAAAATGAATAGTATTCGCCACCATCACGGACTTGCTATGTCTGTGGCAGTTTATTGAACGGAGCCGCAACGGACGGCACGTGGTGGTTTATGTGGATTTTTCGACCACCACGGATATAGCATGTCCGTGACGGTATGGATATGCTATGTCAAAATGTAGGTAAAATATAAAATTGTTCATCTCTTTGTGACAATTTTGATAAATTTCCATCTTCGTCTCTCATATCTGTGTCTATATGTATGTCTATGTGCCCCTTGGAAGGTTGGTAGTGTAGGTATTCAATTAAAGATCAAATCAGATGAACAACAAATAAATTTTATATCCCCCAAGTTGAGAGACCTACGGCCTTGGCTCCTTGTTAGGCCTGACCAACTATGGTGCGTCCGAGTCTACTCGCCCAAAGAGGCAAACTTTGCAGTTAGCAAATAAATAATTTGTAATAATATATAGAGTTTTAAGTAGAGAAATAGAATAAGGAAATGATTCCATGTGGGCTGGATTCAGAGGTATAAAGCATCCATCTTAAAGATGGATGCAAATAGGTAGTGCATCTAAAAACAAGTGTAACTAATGGTCCAAATGTTTTCTTAATATGAATATTATTTCTAATTTTCAAATTAATTTTATTTTTCATTTTCATGATCCCCATAAAAAATTAGGATCAAATTATATTTAAAAAATATATTCATTGTCAAGCCTGCATTTCTACAATATACGGGTTGGCAGCATAGAAACGGTGTCCATAGAAGAAGAGGAAAAAGAAAAAAAAGAGAAATATATAAAAAATGCTATGGACATCTTTGCAGACCCTACAACGTGACAATGCACTTATCAACCGATTTTTAGAACAAACCACTGATGAGTGCACTAATCGGCCCATAAGTGCACTGGAAAAAAATAACTGCACACATCATCGTTGGAATCGGGCTAGATTGGGATCGACCAGTGACCGATCCCAAATTAGTCGGCCGATCTTTTAAGCATTGCTTTTAGATTGCACTTTTGGAGATATAACTTCCTCAATTAAAGATAAAAATAGATTATCGCACCAACCTAAGAATTTTCAACATCAAAATTATATCTCATGACAAATTTTGGAGTTGCATCTCACTTAACATCAAGATTAAAAGAACCTTTCAATATCAACGAGTTTAAATTGTTTCTAAACTCAAAATATGAATTTCTTATTTAAAACGTTCTTGGCGTGGCCAAAATAGTTTAGAAAAAATATCTCAATAAACTGTATTTTGGTTGTTGCCGACTAGACCTCAGTTTTGCATATGCAGTCTCGAAAGTATAAAGCATCCATCTTAAAGATGGATGCGAGTAGGTGTTCCATCTAAAAATAATAGAAACTAACGGTCTAAATATTTTTTTATTAGAATTATCATTTTTAAAATTTTAAAATCATTTATTTATTTTATATTAATGATCTCCAAGTCAGAGATAACATGTCCTTAAAAGTTAAGTCTTAAAATCCAGGTCAGAAATGGATTTATCAAGAGGCCCGCATTTCTACATACGCGGGCTTGGCCGCATAGAAACCTGGTCCTCGGGAAAATACTGCTTTATACCTGAGGGAGCAGGTGTAAAGTGCTCTCCCGCGGGAGCACGCAACAGGCGCATATAGCGTTCTCTCTCTCTCTGCGGCCTGACTGATCCCACCCTACAAATCCATCATAAACCCCTCGTATTGCTCTGCTTCTCTCTCTACCACCAAAACCGACATCTCTTGTCATCACTTTCTCAAGTTTCTGGCACAGAAATTGTCTTTGTTGATTCATAGAGAGAAAATTGCAAGGAATTGTCGTGATGAGGGGTGTTGTAAGGTTGTTGAGTAGTGTAGTTAACAGAGAAAGGCAGCAAATTTTGCGCTCCTCAATCCGATGCTTTTCTTCTTCAACCTTTGCTCCTAGGGATCATCCTCTTTTTGGTCCTTCTCCCTTCAAAATATCTCCTCTCTCACCATCTTCCACATGTCAATGGAACAGCTTGAGAGGTATTTCTCTCTCTCTATAAAATCAGCAGTGGGTTTTTCTCATATCAATCTGAGAACAACCTTTAGTAAATGAGTCACTTCTGCTTGTAACAAAAACTCTGATTCAGAGTATTTGATTCTCGAGTACTCATAATTGATTGTTAAAATTTTATTTGTTGATGGTTGATATCCCCCATTTTTTTGTCCATTTGCATTTTTTACTTGGTCCTTTCGAATGATCAACCATTTTCATTTGCTAACTCCTTTGTTTTACTTATTTGAAAAAACATATATATTTTTGTGGGGGTTTAATTTTGTGATATGGACTTTGGTATTGCTGCATATTGCAATATGTGTGTGCCTTCTGTTGCATTTGGGCTTACATGAATTAGGAAATGGTTGCCTAATATGGATAATTATGACTCGATCATGGAATTAGTCGGCATTAATCCTCCTCTTTCTTGGGTGAATTGACTTAGAATGCTTTCTGAAGTATTTATTTTGCTATCGAAAGCCATGGAAATTGTAACCATATATTCTTTAATTTTTGAATCCACTGAATTTTGATGATGTGGTGTTCAGAGAATCATAATTATAGAGAATATTTATATTTCTCATCTCCATCATTTTGCTAGGCTGATAGGATTTTGATATGGAAAGCTACTGATTTTATAAAGAGATATTATGGTTTAGTTTATTATTCTCTGTTATGATTTTAAGAATCTAAGAAAACCTCAGGATTACATAATCATAACTTTCAAAGAGATGGAACCCATGGAGTGTCAGATTAGTACATAAAAAATTGCACTTGGGTTCCAAGGAAAATATTTCATATGGGAACCAAAATGGGGTAAATATAAAATTTGAATATCAGAATTGCAAGTTACTTGCATTCTTGGCTTGTCAAAGTTAATTACTTTGGATGTTAAACTGAATTTATTGAACAATGTGTGAGACTCAAGTTCTCATGCGAAAGGAAGGCGTCATCAGGCTGGAAAAATGTGAGAGAATGTTCTTTTGGCATGGCAACCATGTATGAGGTGGGGGATATCAGTTCATGAGGTGCCCTGTCATTTGACGAGTATGATGAGTTGGTTCATCTGATGGCTACTCTACAATTAGCTTATTTTCCTCCATATAGGTGCTGATGAATTGGTTTTGGTTGGGAAATCATTCTATCGGTTCTCTATTAAGTCTTTCTTAGTGGGGTTTTAGTTTTAAGAAGTTGATTTGGTTTACCCCTAGCCCTATTCTTCTTCAATGTGTTGGATAGCTGTTTGCTATTGAGAAATCACCTCTGTTTTCGTAGTTTTCAGCTTGCCAATATTTTCTACCGGTGGTTTGAAACTCGGTTTGGGTCATGTACTTGCCCTAGACTGAGCCAAATTACTCAGATGAAACCAAGTGGCCTTGCCCAAATCAATCCCGAGTGCGAAATGGAATAGAGAAATTGTGCAAAAAGATGCCTACACAATGCCTAGGAAATACAAACTGTGAAATTCAAGCTCATAGAGTACACGCTATCTATGAAATGCAATTTCATTTCACGTAATCCAATACAACAAATACAAAAATAACTATGGAAAATAGGAGTGCCGTATTCAGGGTATTCCTAGGTCTCACTATAAGAGTGGGGATCTCTGACAAAAATCTGTGAGATAGAGGAAGCAGTCCCTATCCTAGCTGTGCCACCCTGCTAGACAGGAAAGTCAGTGAAATTGGGCCCTAATCCATGGGCACCCCCCTCCAAACCCCCCCACCAAAAGAAAAAAAGAAAAAAAACTTCGCTAGGGGTCCCTCCCTCATCATCATTGCTATGCTTCTTAACTCCCTGGCTGGGTAGTTGGCTATGTCAATTGTTACGACGCCGGCTACATCGCTCAACAGATGAACTATGTTGCCAATAACTATACCATTCTCTCTCGTCTTGTAGCCAACCATTTCGGTCCTCTCTTCAGTGGAGCTCCCACCACCATGTACCTGCTCGCTCCCCCTCAACCTGTCTCTCCTGCTCCTACTACATGTTCTCCTAGTTGTTCTATGCAACTTCCATGTCATCAGGGTCATTTGCAGCCTCTTCTTCTAGGGCCCTTCTATTTACTACCGTTTCCTCTCACTCCACCACCCCTATGTAGGGTCCTCTTGGAATATGTCACCGAGGTTATACTTGGTGACCTCCCGCCTTCGCTGCCTCATCCTCAAGTTGAAGTTATAGTGGACATACAACCATACAACCTTTGTCTTCAACATGTTCCTCCTTGGAGCATGAATCCATTGGAATGTACTCTAGTTTCTCTCAGATTCTGTTGCGGAACAGGTTTGGCTTAGGTTTCTGATTGCAATATTTTGTGAGTGTTTTTTTTTTTTTTCCGTGGAGGGGGGGTATTTGAAGTCCATATGACTCCCATCATTTTTGTTAAAAGGAAATAAAAAAAAAAAAGAATATTAATCAGTGAATACAAGTTTGAAATGCAACCACACAATTAGTTATATTAGGAAATACTAACTCATAAAGCTTGTTAGCGAACCTAGTTGGTCCCAATATCACCTTGAGCATCATGTATATAGAAAGCTAAAAAGTAAATTCGATAGTCAATCATACTACAACAAAGCAAACAACAATATTGTTTGACTAGTAAAACATATTGATAAAAGCTTGCCTTTCTCATGGCATGAATATGGGCCTGCTCCTCATGCTCCTGTCTCTCAAGGCAGTTCCTCACCCCTTCCATGATCTCAGTGTTAGCTCTGAGCCAGTTGATAATAATACTCTGGGTTAAAGAAAAAGCCTGAATTTAGTGTTAATATAAACCTAAATACCCAACAAAATTAATAAATAAACATAAAACATAGAATGAAACTTTAAATTTATAATTATCTGCCGCATGCGTATGGCGATGTATCTGGTTAGCCCTTTGGCATTGATGATCTCCCAGACCATACATAGAATTTGTAGTTTTCCTTAATGGCATGTTTCACCCAATCAAATGCTTTATAAAAGAATCCCATGACTGGCTTCAAATTGGCATCAACCAACTTCAGTACTTACACAAGTGGTGTGGTGGCCCAAACAACCTCGTTATATTTAATCAAAATCTCCAGCTGCTAATATGAAGTGGCAAACCTTGTGATAGCAAGCCTAGTGATCCCTCCACTACAATGTGATCTCATTAAGCTAAAGATGTTTTAGTCGTCATATATAAATTTGGCGATCTTTTACCCTCTTAATGCAACTACTCATCGCCCTCAACTTCCTTACAGCCTTCAGCATGAGATCTATACAGCAGACAGCACAGGGGCTTCAAACTAAGTATTGTCTCTTTTCTGTAAGCAGCCTCACTGCCTTCAAATAACTTCTGTTACTTTTTGTAATCAACTGCACCACATTTTCTTCCCCAATATCTCCTACCACTTCATCAAGCTTGTTAAATAGGAGTTCTCCAGTCCTCTTTTTGTCCACTGGAAACCAAAACTTCCCCTTCAGAGCAATAGATAAGGAAATTCACTACGTGCTTTTATCATCCATCCTGCCAACCATGTAACATAATTGTGACCACAATTTTACCCTCGGTTGCTTAAAATTTTGATTCGAATGTGATTCAATCAACTCATCATCTTGGCATTTCCTTTCAAGTTTAGTTGCAACCCTTGACTGCCGACCCAGCTTCTTCTGTAGCAGTTATCATAGGTTGATAATATTCTGAATTAGTTGTGAAATGGGATGGCAGTCATACCACCACCTCGCAACTGCCATCTTCATCCTATCCTTGTATCTCTAGTCACATGAGAGATTGAGGCATGGTGGACAAGTCTAGAGGGTTCAATGGCTCGGGGTCAGGGTGGGGTTCGGGGTCTGGGTCGAGGATGGGGTTGGGTTGGGCTAGTAAGTAGTAGATGCCCAGGATGTGGTAGAAGGTTGGGATGAGAATGACCGTCCCAGACTAGAAGAAGTAGACCTAAGGAGCCTAGACCCGCACCCTTCCATACCAGTCACTAGAAGCTCAAAGTTACTATTGGCTGGGGAGCGTGATTGCTAGAAGCTCCTGCCTGTCTAGCAAATATTTATCAATCTACATCTGTCTCTCCCGCATGTCTGTTAGACTAGCCAAGCTTCTCTGATCCATTTGAGCTGCAGCCTCTATCTTGTCGTCATCTATAGGGGGTGCATAATGTTCTCTATCTCTTTAATAATCCTCTATTTCTATACCTTCTTCCATCTTGTTACCTCCATTGTCTTTTGGATAAATTCCTTAACTACCACAGGCACCTTATCATTTGGTTGAAAATCACCACAAATTATTGCTAGGTGATGCTTCACACAATCAAGGTTGCCTGTCATCTCCCTCTCCCTTCCTCAAAAGCTAAACCGTACACTAGTCTACCCCTTCTCTTTCTTAGGCAGCTTCTCCTTACACTGCCAAGCTGGATCCGTCCTCGTCATCGCTTAGGCCTATAATAGAATATATATATATATATATATATATATATATATATATATATAANAAGTAATAATACGTAAGGTAACTAAACTAAACTAAAACTAAAATAAACTACTAC